GCTTGCTGAGAGCGTGGAAGGTCCCCGGGGACAGGAAAGTCAGATTGTTTCCATCCAGCCAGAGGCTGTGGAGGAAAGTCAGGTTTCTGAAGGTGTTGGCGGTGAGGATCCGCAAATAATTATTGGAGAGGTTTAGCGAGACGGTGGATGCTGCTATTTCTCCAGGGAGGGCTCTCAGTCCGGCTCTGTTACAGTGGATAATCTCTTCAGGTGCACATTTGCACATGCTTGGGCATGAGTCAGAGGTGTTCGGACTCAGTCCAGCCTTTGCGGCACAAGTAAATATAAATATAACAAGAAAGAACATGACCAGCCACAAGTCAGCCACCGCATCTAACACCTGATGGATAGCAGAGAAGGAGGCAAGAAAAAGAGCGTGTACCTTTTGGATGGGTGAACCGCGAGCATTGCAGGGGCGGTTGGGCTGTGCTTTTAGTGCACAGTGAAAATAAATTAGCTGGTTCTTCCCCCTGCAGACCAGTGGGGATCAAGTCTTTAGGCAGATAAAAGCCGATTAAGTGCCGCCCTGCTGTAAAGAGCATTACTGAGAGGCAGGGCGATTTCTCAGCCAGCATCACGCTCTAGCAGAGGTTTTTCCCACCTCCTGCGCTCTGCAAAGAGCAGCAGGTAACAGACTTCCCTCAGAATCTGCCTGGGAGAGGCTCCCGCTCCTGGGTTATCACCATTCTCAGGATCTGCTTGGCACTTTCATAGAACCATAGAATGGTTTAGGTTGGAAGGGACTTTGAAGATCACCTTGTTGCAACCCCCCTGCCCTGGGCAGGGACACCTCCCACCAGCCCAGGTTGCTCCAAGCCCCGTCCAACCTGGCCTTGAACACCTCCAGGGATGGGGCAGCCACAGCTTCTCGGGGCAACCTGCCCCAGGGGCTCACCACCCTCAGGGGAAGGAATTTCTTCCTCACATCTCATCTAAATTTCCCTGTTTCCAGTTTAAAACCTTTACCCCACTCTGATAAAGAGTCACTCCCCAAAGAGTTGGGGTATTTTTGCTCAAAAAACCTCCATTCTGGAGGGGGATTTTTGTACTTTTCTCCAGTTTAGGGCTTCAGCAAAGGCAGCTGAGAGTGGCTGTGCCATCTGGACGTGAGATGGGGGCTCTCACCCCGGTGTGGCTGCGCATGCTGGCGGATGCCCTCTGCTTGACTGTGATCCG